TTCTTTCTCTAGTACTAAATGCTGTATCATAAACATTTTCTCATGTTTCTACGTGCTATTTGTAATTGTAATCTTTTATGGCTGCATACTGTTCTTAATTAAGATCTTTATGCATAAAGTTCTCCACTATTTCACATTTTTTTTCCCCCCTGAGGATTCCAGAAGTCAAATTGCTGGGTCAAATTACTTTTTATAGCTTCAGAATCATATAGGCAAATTGCTTTTCAAAAAGGTGGTATCCATTTATAATGCATTCAGGCCCAATATTGCTCATTCAGTGGCAACTTCATTGATATCGGGTATTACAGACACCATTTTCTTTGGGTTGATTTATGAGCATTGTCTCATCTTCATCAGAGCAGTTGCCAGTCAGAAGAAGTAAAGAGGAGTTAAGAAACCACAAGAAACTTTATTGATGCAGACTCATGGAGTTCAAAGAGACCTTGAGCAATGCATTTCCTTCTTATTTTCTCTGATTTTACTTGCTGCATTTGGATTATAAAGACATATATAATAATATATATATGTAATACTATAATAATATAGTCTATTATTTATTTTTTATTTTTTTGGATACCAGGGATTGAACTCAGGGGCACTTGACCACTGAGCCACATCCCTAGCCCCATTTTGTGTTTTATTTAGAGACAAGGTTTCACTGAATTGCTTAGTGCCTTGGTTTTGCTGAGGCTAGCTTTGAATGCCCCATCTTCCTACTTCAGCCTCCTGAGCCACTGAGATTACAGGCGTGAGCCAGCCACTGTTCCTGGCTTCAATCTTGTTTTAAAAGAAAGTTTTTCTTAAAAGAAAGGCTGAAAAAAAATCTTTCAAAGCCACTTGCATTTTGTTTACCCTGAGCTGAACAAGACATCATTTGTAATTGCTGAAAGATACTCTGTAGAGAGGACTTACCACAGTGTATCTTGCCATTCTTTTATGTTCTTTCTAAATTTTCCTTATTATTAATAATACTATAGTGAACATCTTTTTGCATAAACCTCTAATTTTTTTGGATTGGTTGCTTAGAAACAATTCTTGGAAATGAAATTTATGGATCAAAGGGCATTCATATTTTACTTTATTTATTTTGGCATTTTAAAGACAGGGTGCCAAATTGCTCTAAGGCTTATGCTAGTTTATGACCCCACCAACAATGTAGAAATGTGTTCAATTCACTTTCCATTGCCAGCAGTGGCTTCCCATATTTAAAAAAAAAAAAAAATCTCCCAGTATGCAGCTTCTGTAGATTTATGTCGTGCTCTAATCCAGTGTTAATCTAACCTTAAAAGCTAGGAGACTTTTCCCCCTTTGAGTTGCAAACCAAATCCTTCCTGTCAATTTGAGGCTTGGCTTTATTCTGTAAGGACTTAGAGTTCTGCATTGGAGATGTCAACTTCTATTTTCCTTTCTTTGTAAAACCTCATGGCCAAGTTTGCATGAATTGGTATAGAAGAAAAACATTGCCATTGTTCCAAGAAGTGCTTCAGTATTTCTCTGCTGGATTATGGGTTGGAAGAGTTATCCATGGCCATGGAAGGGAGGGGCAGCTCAGGTGTTGGGCTCTGCCATCTGATTCACTGACTGGGATGTGACAAAATCAGTGAGGGTGGCCTTGGGGAAGAGTTCTGTGTGTTGGGCTGTGTCAGAACAGGTACTACCTGGAAGAGTAGATATTTTGTCTCTCAACATCTCTTTTCTTTTTCTGGTAATCAAGGGTTCTCTCTCTCTCTCTCTCTCTCTCTCTCTCTCTCTCTCTCTCTCTCTCCAACTACTGTATCCTGATCTAACCCTGGCCTTTCCTTTTTGGCTAGAAATCCCTTTTCCTCTTGGCTAGAATGATTGACTCATGAGTGGGCACTTGACTCAAGAATGACCAGCCCAGTCCTTCATGGGATTTGACCTAGGAATGCTGACATACACTATATTCCCATGAAGCTTGGTAAACCGGGATGATTTAGGTTGAAGGCTGTGGTACTTCTCTAGTCCCATCATGTGGAAAAAGTGACTTGCACCTGCAATTGAAGCCTGGGACTATGAAACTAAGGAAAAGCAAACAAAGATGTGGCAGGGGAGGTGGAAAGGGATGGTCTCCATGCCAAGCCATGAATGCTGGTCTGGATTGGATTTCATTTTGCCTTTACAATGGAAAAATTCTAGTGCACCTGGAGGGGCCAGAGAGCTTATATGTAAGAGATAAGCACAGAAGGTTCTAGAAAGAGGGAGCCAAGGGTTTGTATTAGAGGAAAATATCGGTTGTCAGATTCAAACATTGCAGGTATTTGAGACGATAGGCTGGAGCAAGGTAAGAATCGGTTGCTGGGAATATGAGGAGCATGTCGGGAAGTACAAAGCTAAAGAAGAGAAGGGCGTTTGCTGCATTTATCTGGGTACGTGGTGATCTTGAGCCACACTGGCGGTGGGATGGAGAGGGAGCGATGGTTGCAGGAGAATTGCAGAGGAAGAATTCTTAGGGCTTAGTGACCTGTTGGCTAACTGTGTTCCTCTGCTCATGTTGCCATAACAAAATACCACAGATGGGGGCCTGAACAGCAGAAATTTGGTTTCTCACAGTTCTGGAGGCTGGGACGTTCAAGATGAAGGTGCCGGCAGGGTGGGTTTCGGATGAGGCCTTTCCGTTCATCTTGCAGATGGTGCTTTCTCATCCTTACATGGCCTTTTTCCACCTCTGGTCATGTGGGAGAGCAATCTCTGGTGTTTCTTTCTAGTTCCATGGTAGACACCAGGCCTGTGAAGCTAGGACCCCATCTTTTTTTTTTTTTTTTGAAAGAGAGAGAGAGAGAGAGAGAGAGAGAGAGAATTTTTTAATATTTATTTTTTAGTTTTCAGTGGACACAACATCTTTATTTTATTTTTATGTGGTGCTGAGGATAGAACCCAGTGCCTCACACATGTGAGGCAGGCACTCTACCACTGAGCTATAGCCCCAGCTCTAAATATATTCTTTTTAAAAAAAGTTTTTAGTTGTAGATGGACACAATACTGCCGCAGTCTGGCTGGGCACAAATCACGAGCCACTCAAGAGGAACAAACTTTATTTCTGAACTCCACCAGCACACTCCACACACGCTCCCCAGGAACTCTCCCGAACGCCATGCGGCTCCTCCAGGAACCACCAACTAGAAATCCCTCCTCTGGCACTTCCCCAACCAATGTGAACTCTTCAGGAATCCCCGCGAGAGCTCCTTGAGAACTCAAAAGTCATCATCTTAATGGCTCGCTGGTGTCACCTCTCAAACACTACTTCTGGCAAAAATGCCATGCGTCATCCCGACTCTGCTGTGGCCCTCAACACAATACCTTTATTTTATTTATTTATTTTTATGTGGTGCTGTGGATTGAACCCAGGGCCTCGCAGGTGCTGGGTGAGCGTTCTACCACTGAGACAAACCCCAGCTCCTAAATAAATATATTCTTTATAATATAAAATATATTATAAGCATTTTCTCATACTGCTATAGTTTTCATAGCTACCATTTTTAAAGTATTTTTTTAGTTGTTGATGGACCTTTATTTTTTATTTATTTATATGTGGTACTGAGAATTGAACCCAGTGCCTCACACATGCCAGGCAAGTGCTCTGCCCCTGAGCCACAACCCTAGCCCTTCATAACTACCATTTTTTTAAAAAAATATTTTTTGGTTGTTGATGGACCTTTATTTTTTTAAAATTTATTTTATGTGGTGCTGAGAATTGAACCCAGGACCTCACATGTGCAAGGCAAGTGCTCTACCGCTGAGCCACAACCCCAGCCCCATAACTAGTCTTTTCAAAGGCTGCAGTGCACTCCTGATTCTATTCTAGTATTGCTCGTCTTTCTCTTACCTAGTTGTCATTGGCTAGCCAACGAGTCAGTCGTAAGCCCCATCCACCTTCCTTCGTTCCTTGTCACTGCATCTTCCCCCCCCCCCCAGCCACCTATCTTAAGATCAGGTCATTGTGTGATGGGGGCTTCCTCACTGGCCAACTGTCTCCTGCCACTAGTAGTACCCACTGCATTCACCTGACACAGAGGAGACAATGAAATTTAAGGCTGTGTTTTTTAATGGTACTCATTCACTCTTAACATTGACAGGCTCTAAAGTCACACTCTTCAGCTAGGCACTGGAAGTCTTCCACAGTCCAGCATTAACGCAGCTTATTTACTCCCACCCTTCCACCTCACTCTGTTTCTCTCTTCTATCCTTTCTTCCTCCCTCCCTCCTTCCTTTCCATCCTGTCTTCCTTCCTTCTCTCAGTACTAGGGACTGAACTCAGGGGCTGAGCTATATCCTCAGCCCTTTTTATTCTTTGAGACAAGGTCTCACTAAGTTGCCAAGGCTGATCATGAACTTGGGATCCTCCTGCCTCAGCCTCCTGAGCTGCTCAGATTACAGTTGTGTGCCATGGCTCCTGGCTATGATTATCTTTTAGAAAAATTATTTATTTGGGGATGGGGTTGTAGCTCAGTGGTAGAGTGCCTGCCTCGCATGTGTGAGGCACTGGGTTTGAACCTTAGCACCACATAAAAATAAATAAATAAGCTGGGTGCAGTGGTGAACTCCTGTAATCCCAGTGGCTTGGGAGGCTGAAGCAGGAGGATTGCGAGTTCAAAGCCAGCTCAGCAACAGTGAGGTGCTAAGCAACTCAGACCCTGTCTCCAAATAAAAAATATAAAATAGGGCTGGGGATGTGGCTCAGTAGTCGGGTGCCCCTGAGTTTAATCCCTGGAATTCCCCTCCGCAAAAAAAAAATAAAAAAAAAAGAACTAATAGATGATGTTTAAAAAATGTTTATTTAATTTGGTGCTATTTATATAAATTCAGTGATTTTTGTATATTGATTTTTTTTATTAAGTAATATACAATAAAACTAATAATTTCTCCATAGATTTTTGTGTTTTCTATGAAGCCAATATTATATATGAGTAATGAATGTTTATTTCATTTTTCTAATTCTTATACCTTTGTTTCTCTCACCTAATATAATGTTGAATACAAAGGCTATAGTGGGAATTATTTTCTTTGGTCTGAAAGGGAAAATATTCAACTCTTCACCATGAACTGGAATTATTGCTGCTGATATACAGTTTAGGAGGTAAGAGATTCTATTTTAGCTTCCTAAGGATTTGTTTTTATATTTCTATTTGTTATAAATGGATAGTAAAATTTATTTTAAAAATTTTTGTTTACTAAGATATGGTATCTCTCCTTTAATCTGTTAAAGTAATAAATTAGTGTTTTTCTTTTTCTTTTTCTTTTTTTCCCCAGTACTGAGAATCTAGCCCATGGATGCTTTATCTCTGAGCTACATCGCTGGCCCTTTTCAGTTTTTGAGACAGGGTCTTACTAAGTTGCTGAGGCTGTCTTCAAACTTGGAAATAAGCACATAAAAAGATGCTCAGGACTGGGGATGTGGTTCAGTAGTAGAGCATGTGCTTAGCATGCAAGAGGTCCTGGGTTCCATCTCTAGCACACGCACGCGCGCGCGCGCACGCACACACACACACACACACACACACACACAAAAGCTGTTAACATCATTGGTTATCAGAGAAATTCAAATAGAACCACAATGAGCAGCATTATACATTCACTAGAATGGCTCAGATTTAAAAACTGGCTAGGCACATTGGCTCATGCCTGTAATCCTAGTGGCTTGGGAGGCTGAGGCAGGCAGATCACAAGTTCAAAGCCAGCCTCAGCACAAAAAGAGAAGCTTCAGCCTCCTGCATTGCTGGGATTACAGGCATGCACCACTGCACCCCGCTCCACTGATTATTTAACCCATAGCTTTAAAAAATGTGCTTCTTCACTTCTAAACCCTTGGATTTTTTTTCTAGGTTTCTGTTTGTAATTGACTTCAGTTTTAATTCTATGGTGGTCAGAGAAAGTGGTCTATATAGAATACCAGTCCTTAGAAGTTTGTTGAGATTTGAATTTAGTTACTCTCTGAAATGTTTCATGTTTTTCTAGGAAAAACACATATTCTGAAATAATTGGGTACAGTGGTATCTATCCCTTTAAAAAGTTAAATATCTTATATATGAAAAATCTTCTAAACTGTTTTCCAAAGAGTCATCATTTTACATCCCACCAGCATTGTATGACAGTGCTAGTTGTTCCACATCCCTTGTCAACACTTGGAATAGTCAGTTTTTAAATTTTTTTTTGTACCAGGGATTGAACTCAGGGGCACTTGACCACATGAGTTCACAAACAGTTCCACAGTGGTAATGTTCTTTGGTCATTGATTGGATCAATGAAGTTGCTGCTGGGGCCTTACAGTATCTGACAGAGCCTCCATTTAGTGAGCACATACTCTGTGCAGAGGCACTTTACATGGTTTCTCTCAGGCCTCATAACACCATGAAGAGATGGGGAATATAATTCCCATTTCCCAGCTAGGGAAACGGAGGCTCAGAGACATGAAGCCACTTGCTTAAGCCAGGTGTGACCAGCTCCAGACTCATGCCCTGTTGTCTATGTTGGAGTCAAACTGAATTGGAGGCCATAATTCTGCCTCATTTTCCCCAGCATTCCTATTCCTGGGCTCCCTGAGAGGGTCTCAGCTGTCAGCCAGATGGTTCTGAGGCCCAGGGCCTGCAGCTACCTCTGTAACCAGTTCCTTCCTCCTTGCAACATGGTGAGTAGGTGATATAACCTCAGCATGGAGAGGACTATGTGTGTACACGTGTGTGTCCGTGTGTGCTGGCAACAGCATAAAGGAAACAGCATTAGTCTTCTCCATTCCCACCATCACAGCCTCATCGACTCTTCCTTCACATCTCTCAGGAATGTGGACCCTTTCCACCCAGGGTACAGCACATTTCTGAGAGGAATCATAATATCCCCCTTGTCCCTGTGCATTGCCAGAGAGGTTTCTGGAAGCCATTTTGGGGACTTGTCCTCAAAACACATAATGTCTATATAATATGGTAACAACTAGGTTAAAAAAATCTTTTTTTTTTCCTCTTGTGTTGGAGATCAAACCCACTGAGTATACCTCCAGCCCCATTAAAAATAAGATTGTAAAGGGGAAAAAAAAAAGCAAAGAAATGTGGTTATGAGTGTTTTTTTTCCTTTATTTTCAAAATTTTCTGTACTGTGGCTTTCTTATTTTTATAATTAAATTTATGAAAAATGCAGTGGATCGAACAAATAATCTGTTGCTTCTCTGTGAGAAACAATAATAATACTGCATTTCCAAGGAGGTTTTTAAAAATTACCTTTATAATTAAAATTTTGGTAGAATCTACATAAAATTTACCGTCTTAAACCTTTTGAGGGTACAGTTCATTGTCATTAAGTACTTTCACGTGGTTGTGAAACCATCATCACTGTTCTTCCAGACTTTTTCATTGTCCTAAACTGAAATCCTATATCCACGGCTGTCCTTGCCCTCCTCCTTTAGCAGCCACCATTCCGCCTCTGTGACTTTGAGCATTTGATACCTCTTGTAAATGGGATCATACAATTCTTGCCCTTTTGTGTGTGTGGCTTTTTTTACTTGACATAATGTCTTCGGATTTTACCTTTGTCATGGTATATATTAAGGTTGGCTTCCTTCTTAAGGCTGAGTAATATCCCAATTGTGTATATCTATCTATAGCTCTATCTTTCTCTCCCTCTATATCTATACCTTTACATTACATCTTGTTTTTCTCCATTCATCCATCAATGGCCAGTTGGGTTGTTTCTGCCTTTTGGCTATTGTTTAAACTAATGCTGCTAAGAAATTGGTTTACAGATATTGAGTCCTTGCTTTCCATTCTTTTGGAATTGAAATTCTAAATCCCAAATTGGAATTCAATTTCAAATTCTTTTGGAATGTGCTTAGAAGTGGAATTGCTGCCAAGGAGCATTCTAGAACTCATTTCTGGAACTTTTGATAGTTTAAATGGTTACTGGGGATTGAACCCAGGAGTGCTTAACCACTGAACCTCATCCCAGCCCCTTTTATTTTTTATTTTTTTTAGTTGATGGATACTATACCTTTATTTTATTTATTTATTTTTATGTGGTGCTGAGGTTTGAAACCAGTGCCTCACACTTGCTAGGCAAGCACTCTGCCACTGAGCCCCAACTGCAGCCTCCCCAGCCCTTTTTATTTATTATTATTATTTTTATTTATTAATTTTTAAAGTTTTGGATATTTATTTTTTAGTTGTAAAATAAATATTATTTATTTTTATGTGATGCTGAGGATCGAACCCAGGGCCTTGCACGTGCTAGGCGAGTGCTCTACCACTGAGCCACAACCCCAGCCCCCTTTATTTTTTATTTTGAGACAGGGTCTCACTAATTGCTCAGGGCTTTGGTAAGTTGCTGAGGCTGGCACTGAGGTTGGTTATCACCTCCAACAATCTTTTACTCTGATTCCACCTCTCCTTCCTGGAGGACCTCGAGCGACATCAGGAGTCACTATTGATGAGAAGATGGGTGAATGTTTCTGAGATTTTGTTTAATCTTCAGAAAGTTATAGTTAATGATTTCCACATCAAGGGTTGCCCAGCATACCACCAATTTTGAATTTAAAGCAGAGCAAATAAATGTGAACAAATAAATGTGTTTTGTTCATAAAAATTGTGCTTATAATTGTGGTATATATACACAATGGAAAGTTACTCAGCCATAAAGAAGAATGACTTTATGACATTTGCCAGTAAATGGATGGATCTGGAGACTGTCATGCTAAGTGAAATAAGCCAGCCCCCAAAACCAAAGGTCAAATGTTTTTGCTGATGTGTGGATGCTAACCCACACTAAAGTAGGGGGGGAGAGGAAGAAGAGAAGTTCATAGATTAGACAAAGGGGAATGAATGGAAGGGAGGGGGATTAGGCAGAGGAAAGACAGTAGAATAAATCTAACATAATTTTCCTATGTACACATATGAAAATACCTAAGTAACTCCCACCGTCGTGCCTACCCACAAGAATGAGGTCCTAATTAGAATAATATATATCCCATGCTTGTATAATTTTATCAAAATACATTCTACTGTCATGTATAAGTAGGAAGAACCAATAAAAAAATGGAATTGAAATACAGGGAAAAAATCATGTTTACTACTCAGTAATTATGTGATTTTACTTAATCAAATAATCTTTGCTTCAAGTGTTTCCTAGCCAAGTATAAAATGTCTTGAGAAGTACAAAAATGATAGAAGATGTGAAAGAACTCTGAGAAACGTAGAAGAAACACCAATGAAAGATTGGAGATGAAAGACTGCAATGTGGAAGCCAAGCCATACATTAAGAAAGATGGACAGACGGTGTTGGAAAAAGAACAGCAACTCCTGGGTACAAGATGACTGTTCCCTAGAAATGCTGGTTGGGTAATCAGTAGTCTGACTAATGTGGAAGATCACAGCCCAGTAAAAATGTGTTATGGCTGAGTGTCTTGCAGTGCAAGCTGGTGCAAATTAAGTGCTAAACACATAAAATAAATATATGAAACTAGTTGTATGTGCTGTAACTCACACTGCTGCAGGAGCTTTTAAAAGTTGCTAATAAAATAATAATACATTTTATTTATCTGACTTTGTGTTTGAAAGGGCAACAGACTGTTTCCAGGTGGCCATGCGTCTTGCCTCCCAGGGTCCTGGGGGCCATTCTGTCAAGCGTGGGCTATCTGGGGCCTTCGCCTTTTGCAAGTTGCCCTTGTTCCGGTAGCTAGGGAGGTGTCTCAGGCTGAAGGAGGCGTCTTGGCCCTACAACAGCCGCATGTCTAAGGCCTTGCCTGGGACATCTGCAGCTGCTGTTGGGAGGCAGAGGCTCCCTCTGCTCCTCTCATGAGTTCCCTCAGGCTTGTGTCTTGGGCCGTGCAGACCACAGCCCTGAGCATTGTCCTTAAAGGTTCATTTACTTCCCTGACCCCAAACCCCTCACTCGCACTCCCTCCTCCTGTGTCCCATGTCCAAGCGCTTCATCTCTGCCTGGCTGGGAGTTCTCGACCTGGCAGCCCATTCACTTACTGAGCCCAAGCACTCCACTCAGGTCCCAGGGATCACAATGGGCAGCTCAGGCTGAGAGTCACTGGCTCAGCCAAGTGCATGTCCTCGATGGAAGGAGAAAGGAAAGGAGTTCTCCTTGCACATTTCAGGCGTCTTTCACTGGCCACCCCGCGGCCCTTAAGGACAGAGTGGGTCATCTTCTACCTGTTCCATCTGCGGTGCTGCCATAGGTACTGCTGTGGAGCAGACACACAGTCTTGTCAATAAAATAAAACTTAAATTTCTGATATTGGTCCAGGAGATTTAATACTCTGCACTCTCCTACCCAGACCCTCAAATGAGCCAAAGGCATAGAATTTAGAGAAAAACAAACAAAAACAGGATCGCAATCTGTGTTTGATGGCAAATGGCCCGGTGCTTCACTTCTGTGAGACTGAGACTTCCCAATGTGAAAATGGGAACAGGCGCTTTGGCACATCAGTCTTCCTTTGGTGGGAGCCTGGCGCTAAGGCTTGACATTTATCGTCCCCAGTTCTCTCTACAACCCTGTTAGGCAGATCTTTTGTTGACTTTTTTTTTGGTACAGGGGATTGAACCCAGGGGTGCTTAACAACTGAGCCCCAGCCTTTTTTATATTTAATTTAGAGACAGGGGCTTGCTGAGTGACTTAGGGCCTTGCTAAGTTGCTGAGGCTGGCTTTGAACTTGAGATTCTCCTGCCTCAGCCTCCTGAGCTGCTAGGATTACAGGCATGGGCCACCGTGCCTGGCTTTTGTTGCCTTTTTATCAAGGTGAAAGGAGGTGAACTAGAGGTACTTATGGAGGTAACACAGCTAGCTACTGTCTGAATGGGGATCTGCACCCCCACATGGTGATTAAACAGGGGCAGCTATGGAATCAGAGGAGGTTCAGATCCCGGCTCCACCTGTTGCCAGTTGGGTGATCTTGGGTGTGGCATGTCACCCCTCCACTCTCCTCTATTGCACCCCTGAGAATGCTCTCTTCTCCCTGAACTTCTTTGAGGTGTTAGAAGAGGTCAGGAGAGCAGGGCAAGAGGCCACGGTGGCAGCTGCCCAATCCCAAGCTGGGAGAGTGAACTTCTACCCCTTTCCAGACTGGGATTTCCTCCAGGTGGGGACTCCAGGCAGGAGAACACGTCTGACTGTGGATAAACAAGTCCACGGTTGACCAGGCACATAGACTTTGATCAACCTCAGCGAGAGAAGCAGCAGAACCACACATTCCCTTGAGTGAGCAGGCTCCAGTTAATCCTTTATTATAGGCACTTCAGACGATATTGTGCCACAAACTACTCTCAAAACCCTCCCCAAAGCTTCCCCTAGGGTAGAGTCACCTATTTTAAAGCCCCGTTTGGAAGGATTACTTTATTTGCATGTGGTTTTCCTCATTGGGGTACTGAGCCGTACGTTGGAGGCACCTGGCCAGCGCTACCAGATGCAGACACTAAGATTTAGCCTCTACTGACTCCTAACCCTGTTGCTTAAACTTCCTCTGTTCCAGGCTGCTCCAGATGGTCACAAAACCATAATGCGTTGAGGTTCCTTTCTTTTTAACCTCTGGATCTTTACTTTGAGTTCACTAACCTCTCACTTTATATTTCTGTTGATTTATTCCCATGCCCTCCCCTCGTTCCGGATCACCAGCTGCCCCTTCCTAGCAATACTGTCACCCAACACCTACCTTACAGGTTGTAGTGAAGAGTAATTGAGATAACATGTGTAAGTACCAGGCGCACAGTAAACACTTATACAAATTAGCTATAATTATGTAAACAGCAGTCATCCTGTGTGTGTGAGCTATAAATCAGGAAGTTCAAAGTACACAGAAAATGCCCAGTAAGCTGAAAATTATTAAACAGTGACTGGTTACTACTATGGCCTGTCTGGGAGTCCAGCGTCCCTGCCTATCACCTTTATTTACTTATTCACCAAACATTTGTTGAGATTGGCAATGGCTGTTTGTCATATCCACAACTGCCCAATGTCTTATTTGTTTTAGTTAGCCTTTTAACAAAATCTTAATTGTGTTTAAATATGCATATTATAAAATATACCGTCTTAATTTTTTTTTTCTGTTCTGGGGATTGAAGCCAGGGGTGCTCTACACTGAGCTATATCCCCAGCCTTTATTATTATTTTAATTTTGAGACAGGGTCTTGCTAAATGGCTCAGGCTGGCCTCTAACTGGCAATCCTCCTGTCTCAGCCTCCCTAGTAGCTGGGATTGCAGGTGTGTGTCTTTCTTTGGAGAGGTACCAGAGAAAGAAAGCACAGCAGGTTCCCCCCGGGTTACTTCCTGACCTGCGAAGGCCTTGGCACCCTCAGCTTTCCCTCTGCAGGATTGGGCCTGGCTTTCCATTTCATACCTCCCGTGATGACTGAGCCCCTTTTCTGTGCCAGGATCATCCTGGAAACATGAAGATTAGTAAGCAGGACTCAGCCAAGGGGAAGTGAGCAAATAGGGCGGAGCCTCAACTGGGGAGCTTCTGAGAGACCATTTTTTTTTTCTCCTTAATATTCTTATTGTGGTCTCTTAAGCCTTATCTCACATGTCTTCTCTCAATTTTGGGGACTCTCCAAGAGAGGCTCACATGTTCCATACGGGTTGCCATTTGTCATTCCCACCATCCTGCACAGGACATAGGCCAGCAGGCACATCATGCCTTCTGGCCCAGTCAGTGTGTCCCCTACTCCTGCAGACTTAGCAAAGGAACTTCTTTCCCTTTCAGATGAATATCTGCAGCCCCATTCTTCACATCCTGGGATGACCAGAATGACAATGGGGATGTCCACTCCTTGTCCCCTCCTTGGTGTGTGTTTGCTTTGACAACACGTCATGACTGTCCCTGAAAACTCAATGGTCCAGCCTCAGCCATTGTGGCCTCAGTCTTGCGTAGCACCTTGGGGTGGGGGTGGGGGTGCTCTAGGTGTCACTACACTGACATCCATCCCGGGGTCCTTGTACTGTCTCTTTTTCGGTTCTAGGTGAAGACCAGGCCTGCCTCAGTTTCTCGTCTCCTTGAGTGTTGCCTACGTGAGAGGACATCTTCCTGGGCCCAAGGAGATGGTTCTCTGGTGCAGGACAGTCCAGACCCAGGCCTAGTGCGAGAAGTGTTTTCTGCTTGCACCGATACTCTCTCTCCCGGCATCTCCTGGACTCATTTGGTCCCTGGGAGCCAAGGCTGTCTCCATCGTCTCCATAGCTACAGGGGCATGTGCCTTACATCTTTAACCACAGAGAGATACAGGAGTGAATTTTTCCTAAAATAAAAGGCCATCTTCTCCCAGAGGTGAATTCAATTCTTGTAAAAAGAGAGATCAGCTTGAAGCTGTGAAAACACAGTTTCCCCTCCCACACCCAACCTGCAGAGGTTTCAGGGGTCTGGAAAAGAATTTTCTGTTAGTGTTTGCATCTCTGTTTCCTGTGTTGCCCTCTGCATGGACCAAATCGTGCCCACCCCCCACCTCCCACCTGATTCATATGTTGAAGTCCCAACCCCTAGAACCTCCCCATGCGACTGTATTTGGAAATGGGGGCTCTAAAGAGGTAATAAAGGTACAACATGGTCATTACCAAATTATGGTAGGTCCTAACCCAATGTGAATTTTGTCCTTAGAAGAGATTAGGACACAGAGGAAAGACTTTGTAAAGACACAGGGTGAAGACGGCCATGAGACAGGCCTCAGGACACACCAACCCTACTGGCACCTTGAGCTTAGACCGCCAGTCTCCGGAACTGTGGGGAAATGACTCTCTGTTGTCAAGTCGCTCAGCTCTGCAGAACTTGTTACAGCAGCCCTAGCAGGCGACCATATCCTCTCCTTCAGCAGTCTTTGCAAAAAGCATCTCCCCATGAAACACTGTGCACATCTGGAGACCTGGCACACTCTCCTGCCAACAGTCTGGAGGGTCCAGGAAGGGAGCCTGCTACTTCTGCATCTGTTCCCATCTGGGAGGGCATCTTGGCCATCAGAAGGGACATGTAGGAGTAGGAAGGACAGAAAGGGACAAACACCATTCTCTTTTTTAGGGGGGCAGTACCAGGGATTAAACTCAGAGGCACTCGACCACTGAGCCACATCCCCAGCCCTATTTTGAATTTTATTTAGAGACATGGTGTCACTGAGTTGCTTAGCGCCTCATTTTTGCTGAGGCTGGCTTTGAACCCGTGATCCTCCTGCCTCAGCCTCCTGAGCCGCTGGGATTACAGGTGTGCACCACCATACCCGACCAAACACTATTGTTGTCGGTCATAAAAGTTGATTCCACTCTGGCCTCAGATGAGGAGGGATCCTCATCTCTCACAACTATAAGATGCCAGCAGATCAGACACTCTAAAATCACCTAACATGGGAGTTGTCAGTCACATGTGCCTATTGAGCACTTGAGATGTGGCTCCTCCAAATTGAGTCGTGCTCTAAGTGTAAAATACATGAAGACTTTGGTGGAGAAAAAAAAAAAAGCAAAAAATCGTATTTATAATTTTTTTGATATTGATTACATGTTGAAATAATATTTTGGCTACATTA